TAAAGATGGAACTAGGGTACAAATACAAGTAGATCAAGCTTTAGTCCTTCTGCTGTTTATGAGAACAATGTTCAACCCCTCAGCAGCAAGGCTTTACTTCAAAAATTTCAAGGTATTTTGAAGTTCAGAATCTTCAGATGCTTTGCCTTGTCTTTTAGTTTATCGTTGCTTTCTTGCAATTTTACCCATTGCTTTGGATAAGATCCTTTAGTTTTGTGTGCTTGAGAACCACAAAAGTTGGGCTGAACAAGATTAAGAGTCAATGGACTGCTGTTTGATTATAGTAAACATTCTCCTTACATGCTTTTATGCATTTTTGAATGGTTATTTAAGAAAATCATACTGTTTACTTGATAAAACTTAGTTAATTGTACTATTTTTCTCAGTTGCTTGTGTTGTGATACTATGGGAGAAGAGTGGGAAGTGCGTATGTAAGGGCTGTTACACTTTCCCCTTAGTCTCACAAACTTGGACGATTTCTTGAAATATTCTTAGACTCCTCCTTAGCCTACAGCCAGGCTTGCTGCTGCAGGTTGTGCTGCTAACGTAACGTGTATTTGCAGGTACGTGGAAAAATTGCTACTACTAACACTAGTACCTACTACCATGGTACCAGCAACTTCCCTCTCTTCTCTTGCCCTTCTTGTTTTTCCCCTCTCTGCAGAGCTGCTTGCTTTGGAAGGTCTAACTGATAAAGAAAAACCCAAACCCAACCAACCAACCAAAAAAACCACCAAGCTAAAAAAATAAAATTTATGGAGGGGGTGCGCACCTCTGACACTGGAAGATACGAGGTGGGAGGAGTTAACAGCGACTTGAGTAGATGTGTCCTCTTAGTCTTGGCACAAGTACTGGAGGAAGAAAAGCCGTAATAGGACTAGGCAAGGAGAGCCTGTGAAGTGACCTCGTCTATACCTAAAACAGAGTTTGGAAATCACTTTTCTTTGACAGAAGTTCAGAAGGGAACTTCTGTGGTGTGTTTCAGACAGATGTTACTTTTCTGTTAATTTCTGTCTGGTTTTTTGACTGGAGTTAGGTTTCTTGTAATTACGTAACTGTTTGAATATTGCTCAACTAGCCGTGTAAAGAAAGTACGACCTTGTACGAGTATGTTTTAGGACTAACCACAGTTATACCTGCATGTAGGGATCCTGTTGGACAGAATTATCTTCTCCAGTTTTATCTTATATAGTTATTTTTGTGGGGACCTTTTTAGGAGAATTCTGAGAGAGACGGGTGTTACTGTGCTTGAAAATTATATGTACGTGAGTGTAATGTCATGTGGGTGTATATATAAAAAATAGTATGCTGAAAGCGGGAAAAAGTTGGGGAATCTCCAAGCCAGATGTCGAAGATGGACTTCTTAAGCTGGATTGATACCCAAATCATCTCTCTATATTTACTTTTATTTGATGCTCCTTACTTCAATACTGCAATTTCTGTTTTGTTTGGAGAGAGGGAAACCCTTATGGGTATTTTAAAAACTATTTTTTGCTGAAGTTAATTGTTTTTTATTTGTTTCCAGGAAATGGCTCTTGAAGTGAAATGAGGCTGAATAAAACACATAAATGAAGCAGAAGCTGCTCTGCATGTGTTAGGGCTGTATCACCACCACAAGCACTGCTGATCAGTCAGACTTGGTAACTTGTCATAATGAAGAAAATTAGTCTCAAAACAATTCGCAAGTCCTTTAACTTAAATAAAAGTAAAGATGAAAGCGACTTTGTAGTGTTTCAGCAGCCATCGTTAAGTGAATTTGGAAAAGATGACTCCTTGTTTGGCAGCTGCTATGGTAAAGATTTGGCTGGCTGTGAAGTCAATAGTGAAGATGAAAAAGGAGGCAAAAATAGATCAAAAAGTGAAAGCTTAATGGGTACGTTAAAAAGGAGGCTTTCAGCAAAACAAAAACAGAAAGGCAAAGGCAGCACACCATCTGTAAGCTCTGCAGATGATGACACCTTTTCTTCCTCATCTGCTCCAATAACCTTCAAAGATGTGCGAGCTCAAAGACCTCTGAGATCCACTTCCCTCCGTAATCACCATTACAGTCCAACTCCGTGGCCCCTTCGACCTACAAATTCGGAAGAGACTTGCATCAAAATGGAAGTGAAAGTCAAGGCCTTGGTCCATTCCTCTAATCCAAGCCCAGCACTGAATGGCGTTCGAAAGGACTTCCATGACTTGCAGTCAGACAGTGTGTTCCAGGAACAAAACAATGCGTTAAAAAACACGGAATCTCAGAACGGGGACTTGCATCTTCATATTGATGAACATGTGCCTGTAGTTATTGGATTAATGCCTCAGGACTACATTCAGTATACTGTGCCTTTAGATGAGGGAATGTATCCTTTGGAAGGATCACATAGTTACTGTCTGGATAGTTCCTCACCCATGGAAGTTTCAACTGTTTCTTCTCAAGTGGGGGGAAATGCTTTCCATGAAGAAGAGAGCCAAGTGGATCAGGATGTAGTCGTTGCACCGGATATCTTTGTGGACCAGACGGTGAATGGTTTGTTGATTGGTACCACAGGAGTCATGTTGCAAAGCCCAAGAGTTAATCACAGTGATGTCCCTCCACTCTCACCTTTGCTACCTCCAATGCAGAATAATCAAATCCAAAGGAACTTCAGCGGATTGAATGGCACAGATGCCCACGTGGCTGAAAGTATGCGCTGCCATTTGAATTTTGATCCCAACACTGCCCCTGGAGTTGGAAGAGTTTATGATTCTGTACAGAACAGTGGTCCTATGGTTGTGACAAGTCTCACGGAAGAACTGAAAAAACTTGCAAAACAAGGATGGTACTGGGGCCCCATTACACGTTGGGAGGCAGAGGGAAAATTAGCTAATGTGCCTGATGGCTCGTTTCTCGTTCGAGATAGTTCTGATGACCGTTATCTTTTAAGTTTGAGTTTTCGTTCCCATGGAAAAACTCTTCATACTAGAATCGAACACTCAAATGGTAGGTTTAGCTTTTATGAACAACCAGATGTGGAGGGACATACATCCATAGTGGACTTAATTGAACATTCAATCAGGGACTCTGAAAATGGAGCTTTCTGCTATTCGAGATCCCGACTGCCGGGATCAGCAACTTACCCAGTCAGACTGACAAATCCAGTGTCTCGGTTTATGCAGGTGCGTTCATTACAATACCTGTGTCGTTTTGTAATACGTCAGTACACCAGAATAGACCTGATTCAGAAACTGCCTTTGCCAAACAAAATGAAGGATTATTTACAGGAAAAGCACTACTGAAAGCTTATGGGAATCTTGCATCTTGCACTTTGGGAACAACAACAACAAAAAGAGATTGAATTACAGTTTACAGACTTTCATTGTTATCAAAATCTTTTGCTGCCATAAAAATATTTCATTTTTGTGTGTAAAAGTAATGCATTTGGATTTATGTTTGTTTTGGGGTTTTTTGTGTATTTTGGGGGGCTTTTTTTTGTTTGTTTTGGAAGAATGATCTCAAGTTTATTTTTAGAAGTGTGAAATAGCTATCTTTCATCAATGTGCAGATTAATCACAATGTGAATGATCAAATTCTCCTTAATTTCCCCCAAGTCCTTTGCTGCTATCCACTGTGATTTTTATGCATTGAAAGCACATTTCATGTGTATTCAACCATAAGCAAAAGTCAAATGAAACTTGTTGAATGGAATTTTTTTTTTTCCTTTAAAGTAGCCTGTTTGAAAGATATGATCGTGGATAAAAAACGTATTTGTATTCTAAATTACAGAATTTACATCTATGTTAAAAACAATTTCCTAGTATCCTAATTATAAATTTCTATAGAGATATGCCCTAATGTAGAACTTGCAGACGGAGCTGTGTGATAAGAACACATTTATGCAGCATATCTTTGGGAAAAAATCCGCCTTTTTGCTAAGCCTTGTACTGTCTGTACACTATTTTGTGTTTGAGAAGGTTGGTTCAGCTGCCTTCTTGTCTCAGTATTCTGTCATTCTAAAAATGGCCTTTAAAGAAAAAAAAGTTGTCTGTGAAAGTTGATGTCTAGTACCTATATGGAAATTGCGGTATTGGGGTCTTGTCAAATATTCCTTTTTAAAATCATGCCATCAGTTAAATAAATGAAACCCTACCAAGTCTCCTCTTCTGTCCTTTTCTTTGGTTCAGCTGCCTTCTTGTCTCAGTATTCTGTCATTCTAAAAATGGCCTTTAAAGAAAAAAAAGTTGTCTGTGAAAGTTGATGTCTAGTACCTATATGGAAATTGCGGTATTGGGGTCTTGTCAAATATTCCTTTTTAAAATCATGCCATCAGTTAAATAAATGAAACCCTACCAGGTCTCCTCTTCTGTCCTTTTCACTCCTACCCCCTCTTGGGGGGTGGGGAGGATGGGGAAATTTCCTCAATTTATAGGAAGACTCTAGTAATTGTTATGGGAACATAAATTGATAAGCCATTTTAGGGATGGGGTAAAACTTCTGATAGGATAATTTCTACAATATATATTCAAACTACTTGAAATTTTATCATTTTCTGTGTTTTTTTCACTTGAGAAATGCAGTAATACACTAATGTCCTTCAGATAGTTTTCCCCTTTTTTTGGATATTGTTTGGAGAGGAAGGAACAGGACGGATAACATTTTGGATGGAAGATGCCTAAAATGCATTTCCAATGCTCTTTTCTCATAGCCTTTCAAATTATGGGGAAAAGAGCTTTGGATATGCATTGACCACAGAAAATGTTTCAGTTTACTGTCATGAAATGTGTTTTGACATATGAAATATTGAATCAATTAAGTAAATGTTTATGGTATCTGTCAAAGATTCTGGCATTTGAAAAGCTTACAGTTATTCTAACTCTGTGGGGAACAAAAAGACTTTCAGTGGGGAGTGCAGATTCTACACTGTAATATTTATGTCATGCAAGGTTAATCCATGGCATTTTCCTGTTTTGTTTCAGGTTGTGTTCCCCCTCCCCCCACCATGATTCTGTCCCTTTTATAAGCTATTTGTTAAAGGGATCATGGCTGACTTGGGAGGGAGGCTTGCTTTGCCTGCCTCTCACCCACTGTTTTCTGTTTTAGAATGTCATCTTCCACATCTCTGGTAGGAGTTGCTAGTCAGTAAACATCAGCTTAGAAAAGGCTGTTCATCTTTGTACAGTTTTCTTGTTTAGGTCATTTTCTTCTTGTTTATTCTAGCCTTTTGTCCCCTGAAATGAGTCTTTAGTAATGAATACAGTATTGCTGCAAGGTGGTGCAATAGCACTACATCTTGGGTTGCCTGAATTGATAGACTAAATTTATATTTTTTTAATTTATTTTTTGACCATAATGTTTAACTGAAAAATAAAAAAAGAAAATCAAAGGTAGATAAAGGCTGCCTTTGCTTTTAAGGGAGGGAGAATAAGGATTTCTTCCTTAGTCTAATAAAGTTTTAAACATAAAAATCTAGAGCAGTCTATGTGCATAATTTGTTGGCTCTGCCACTGAGATACACGTATGCAAGTGTGAATTCTGTTTTCTTTTTTTCCTCTACTGACTCCCCGCCCCCCTCTCTGAATCAGGATCACTAACTTTATTCAAAAAGGCACAATAACCTATTGTATGGTACAGTGTTCTGATTCTGTCTGTGGGGAGGAAAAAGAAAATCATTTTTATGGATTTTAGATGCATACTTTTGTAAGAAAACCTCTGGTGTTTTCTTCACTTTAAAAATTCTTTCCCCGTACAAGCTAGAGGGCCTGTGCATTCTATTGAAACTTTGAAAGATTATAGTATATTAAGTATTTTCTTTGCCATTTAATACCACTATTGAATGCATTAGACATGTTTATACTGTGCCACGTGCATTAATTTAGCAGTCATTGCATTGAAACTTTAAATAGTTGAAGCTATAATATGCTGGTCTTATTGCTGAATTGAAAAACATGTAAGAACACACATGCTAAATCTCTCGCCCATGCCTTTATAAATTTTGGGTTGTTCACTCATGCATGTTGATGCCTTCCCAC